CCGGGACATTTGGTAGATGCGCCATTAACTTTTTGTCTGGAAAATATGAGCAAGTGTAAATGTAACCAAAATTGTCTCCAGCCAAGAGTTTTCAAGAAGTCATTAAAGCTCAGAACGATGGGAATTAAGGCAGTGGAGTCACACATAGTGCTGGGCGATATGGCAAAAATAAAATATCACGATTTTTTGATTATATTATTGTGATCTCGATTTTATCATGGTTTTTTTAGATACGACCAACATAACTTCAATTACATGCAAAGAAGAGAAAAATTAAATAAATGAACAAGTTTATTAAAATTAAAGAATCAAAGCAGTGCTAACAAACTTATTTTTTTTATTTCTGTATTGTAAACACACCAAAGAGTATAAAAATGCAATAACTCCTGAGTAAAACAATTACAAATTAGTTACATTTTTCAAGTAACTACAGTCAAAATAAACAAAAATTCTAACTGTATCTTAGTGCAGTTTTATTACTTTAAAATCTTGACTGGTCTAATAAAGTAAAAGAAACTAACTTGAGTTTAAAAAAAAATATTATATTAAACAATAGATTTGTATAATTTCTAGTCTTTAGAAACAAAAACTATTATGGAACTGCAAATATAGTGCAAGTCAAGATGTAATCTGTGCAATCTATGATGATATGATCAGGAAAATAGGCTGTCTGCAGTGTTGCATTGCATAGATCCCAGTTGCTGATGAAACGAATGGTTAAGCTCAAATACGGCGCTGACGTGCGGCTGGACCAGAGGTCGCTTGTGGTGGCAAAGAACTACACATATATAATATTTTGTGAAACTTTCTCTCTGCATTCAGCGTACATACGTGGAATAGCTGTGTTTGAAAAATACGTGCGGCTGGGCAACTCGTAGCGTGGATCCAAAACGTTTAACCTTTTTATTAAATCCCACTCCTTCTACGGTTCGTAGAGGACATAAATCTTTCACCAAGTGAAACGTCACCGCTTCTGTCACGCTGTTCCACCATTTAATGCCTTTATCGTTGGGAGTACGTTTTATAAAAGATTCTGTTAACGTTTGCTGCTTCGGGAGAAAGAACCGGTCGCTGCTGCTGAAGTCGCAGTCGGCTTTTTAGCTTTTTTTTTTTTGGGGGGGAGTGTGCCTTAACTGATTTTTAAACTAATGGACAAACGTCAAACCCTCGGATTATATTCTAGCTGTAAAGTTTGTTTTATTTTGGTTACATGTAAATGTTGTCATTGGCAGAAATACAGCAGCACAGCAGTTCTGTGGATCCTGATAAAACAGTCTCTTAATAACGACAGATCGTAACACAGTCTTAAATCGTCATATCGCCCACCCCTAGTCGCACATGCGAAACACAAAGTGTCAAAATTGAGTTACAGAGAAACAGCCGGTATTTCTCAGCCTTGTTCCACCGTTGTCTCTGCAGCGCCTCCACTTATCACCAAATCAAACATACTAAGAAAACGACACAAAGAAAAATAGTTTTTCTTGTGAATTTGGTCTTAAATTTTTATTTCAAGTGGCATTAAAAAGTCTTAAAAAGTCTTGAATTTAACTTGCCTTATGCTGTAGGAACCCTGTAAAAGTAAGTTACTCATAAGTTGTGGCGTCCAGCTTATCCAAAACCTATGAGTGACTTCTCCTCCAGACTTCATCCCCATCATAGGTTGAGCGTGAAGGTGAGCATGATGGATCCTCCCCACGTTCACGCCCACGACCAACAAACTCCTAGCAGACATGACGATAAATCTGCTGTGACTGCAAACCATCTTTCTTTCTTTTTTCTTTTTATTTATTTTTTGGGCCGGCCGTATCATCGCTGCTCCCCTCAGGAGCGCCCAAGCAGCTTTAACTGATGCTCTGTAATGCGTAATACCCTGCATAAATTAGGCTTTCGTTGGACATAAGTTCTGGACTTGTTATAAATGCGCTGTGTATATGCCCAAAATTGAAAAAAATACACAGAAGGTTCAGCGTATGCCAGCGTTTTAGGAGATTCTGGGTCGTCGGGCATACGCTGGGTAAATCGGCACGGTGTGACGGGGCCCTCAGCTTCCTGCAGTAGGTCTAGGTCATGTTTTTAACTCGTCTCATCTGATCTTTTCTAGTTGAGCTTGCAATGATCATGGATCGTCTGTATGGGGGAGTTTGTTACGCCGGGATTGATACCGACCCTGAACTCAAGTATCCAAAAGGCGCAGGGAGAGTGGCCTTCTCTAATCAGCAAAGCTACATTGCAGCCATCAGTGCCCGATTTGTTCAACTGCAGCACGGGGAGATTGATAAACGGGTCAGTTGATTCATCACGTTTTCCTTCACGTTGCTGCTCGTTCCTCTATTTTAACGGTTTTTTTCTCTCCCTGCTTCTCTCTCAGGTGGAAGTGAAGCCATATGTCCTGGATGACCAGCTGTGCGATGAGTGCCAGGGCACGCGCTGCGGGGGGAAGTTCGCCCCTTTCTTCTGCGCCAACGTGACCTGCCTGCAGTACTACTGCGAGTACTGCTGGGCGGCCATCCACTCCAGGGCCGGACGCGAGTTCCACAAGCCGCTGGTGAAGGAGGGAGGGGACCGGCCGCGGCACATCTCCTTCCGATGGAACTAAGGCTAGAGGGAGGGAGCGTTGCATGATCAGGGGAGGGAGCCAGAGAAATTAGGGAAGGGGTTTAGACTGTAGTATAAAAAAAATAATGCACTTTTATTTTAAGTTAAAAAAAATAATAATTTATTTTTATTTTTTTAAATTTGGCCATTTAAAAAAAAAAAGTGAATCGAAAAAGAGTCAAATCCCATTTATGTTTTGACATTAAGTGTGCATGAGCATATGGATGCATTAGATTTAAATTTAGATGTTTTGGTTTTTTTTCTAACTGAGTGTATTTTCGGTTTCTTAGTTGGCAAAGCTGCTTACATTTGTTGTTGAAAGTAACATAAGATTTAACTGAGGTTGATCACGCCTGAATCAGTATACAAACTGTGGAAGTTAAGTTGATGAAAAGGTGCATTTTTCCTTACTTTGTGCTTGCAGGATTTAAGAACTGTTCCATTTACCAAAGCTTGAGTGCAAATGGTTGGAGCTCTGTTTCGAATGGATCGATTTATTTACCTTTTTTTTTTTTTTTCCAAGTAGATTAGCGAATAACCTCTGGTCACGGTAAAAAACAAAAACAAAATCCTCCCAGAGTTTGGCACATGTTTAGATTGTTGGCTTAAACGTTTGGTTTAAAAGTGAACACTTGTAACCGGAAAGAGCAAACCAAAGAATGGCCTAAATCTGTCGTCCAAACAGTCGTCGATCTGGGGTTTCTACTTTAAGGTGGTCCTCCTGTTTAGCAGGGGAAAAGGCTGGAGTTTCAGTTTGTAGTTTTCAGCTGATAAAGATACGGCCCTCCGGGCTCAGGTATTGGCAGTAGTATTTGTTCACTTTATATCGTCAGGGATCTTAGCACTGGAAGCTAACATGCTAATGTAGTACTAACTAATGGGAATGCACAGTCCAGTCTCCCTGAGCTGTCCTCATGGTGTACCACTGCACGCTCTACCGTGACTGGAGCTCTCTATCACAAGTGTTGTGGTTGGATTATGGTAGTAGCTTGAATTTGCTGTCACAGAGATAAAGATATTATTTTATACATGGCCTGCTGATTTTTGTACAGTGTTTTATAGCTGATTATTTTGTCATGAACATATATACATTTATTATGCACTACTTTTTCTAAATATTTTTTTCAATTGTCATTTTAGGCACATTTTTCACAAATGGGAGAACTCCTTTTGCAATACCTCATTTTTTTCACTTTGTGGAAAAATAATTTTGTACCTTTGTTACTAAGAGATCTGCATTTATGGTAAATTTAATTTAAAGAAAGTGATTAATATAATTTTTCAATTAGCTTTTATATATTTAAGTGCTGGTAAATCTGAAAATTGTCTGTTGCATTGGTGTAATTCTGTAGATAAAAGGAAAAAAAAAAGAAGCAAGCAGAAGAAAAAAAAACGAGGCTTTTTATAAGCCCGTCGTATACAGTTCTCTCTCCTAATAATACAATTACAGGATCTTAAGGTATGGCAAGACATTTCTAAACCGATTTTGATAAGTATCGAGTATAATCTAATATTTTTCTCCTTGGTGTAGTCAGTAGAAGTCTGATTAAAGTAAATGTTTTGGCTTTGAACAATGTAAAATCTTCCCTTTCTCCACCAGAGTGGATCCCATCCGTTTCCAATCTCTTCTTTCCGAAAACTGCCTGTTAGTTCTACGTCTTCTCGGCATGCATACGAGATAACACAGCTAGTGATGATGCAGGACCTAATGTAATGCACTAGATCTCCTCCTTTATTTTTAATTTTTTCCTTTTAAAAAAAGATTTTCTTTCCTTATCTCGTTGAGATTGCCTCTCTTGTAGCCTCTCTCTACACGATGGAGTCTGCCTTCCTTTACAGACATGTTTATGCAATATACACCCTGACAACACTTTGGATGTGTTTTTGTAATGTATTGGACACTCAGTAGGACATAGGCGAGGAGACGTGATCACTTGACCCCTACCCCCTCCTCCTCCTTTGTGATGTGGCATGCTTTGGGACATAACCTGAATGTTATTTAATGTTGCAAGTTAACTTTGAGCCATTACGTGCAATACTTCTTCTTTCCAGAAACAGTTCTCCGCAGTGTACGTCATTCTGTCATAAAAAAAAAAATAATCATGCAGTCTTTTACACTTTTTTTTCCATTTCCTATTGTTCATGCTGATGTCTGTGAAAAGAAACAAAAAATAATTTATACCTAAATTTATTTTGTAAACCTTAGTTTTGTGCTTCTTTACTTATTTTGCTACTACCATGCTACTGTGATTGAAAACATGATGTATATACAAGGTTGATGTATTTGGCATTTGCTATATTTTCAATTGAAACGTATAACATTTTGATCTAATCTTTTATCTTTTTATTTTGGGGTGAAGTGTTAAAATTGTCTAGTTTTTTTGTTTTTTTTGAATCGCTGTAACATGCTTCACAGTTTCACATGGAAAAAAATTATGTCTTAGTATGGCTTGATTGCAAAATTTCAATAGTTTTTAATTGAATGCTGGGAAGGTTATATTTATTAACTTTTTTTTTTTTTTACCTGATATTTTGATTTTTTTTTACTAAGTCATTTCACCTTTATATGTAAGTTCCAATTTTTATATTTTCTTCCTGATTAATTTTTCGCTACAATACAGACGTCAGTTTTTATAGTTGGTTTGTAGTATTGAAGTAAAAGACCTAAAGTCATAAATTAATTTGCTGCCAACTGTTTGTAACTGTATGCATACATTTGAAGTATTTGTAATGTGAGATGTTGAATGAATAAAACAGCTGTGAGGAAGAAGATGATTGTAGTTTTATTAAGGGGATCTAATGAGGACGGCTGATGGAGAAGGTGAATATTTTCCTGTGATGCAGACCATCCAAGTGTTTCTTTGGACATCGGGATAAATTCAGTTTTATTTTTTTGGTGGAAAACTCACATTTTTCTAGATTTGTGAAATAAGGCAAACTGTCATTAAAAATATAAATTTTTTTTCTCCTCTGACCTATGGAAATAAATGGTGTGCGCTGAGTTTGTAGTTTTCTTTTAAGTCTAGTACTCCTAAATTAGATTAAATTTAAAAATACTTCAAATCTCAAAAGCAAATTAAACCTTGCAGTTACTCGCAGGCTTTTTTTTTTAATGATTTGTTGACGAAAGCTGTAAGCGGGATCTTCTGTAGCAGCCTGTCTTACACCTGATCTGGAGAAGCCTCTGATTAAAGATGCTGTTGGTGTTTAACAGCCTGGTGAAGAGGAAGCTCACTGTTGTCCATAATGTTCTTCATTTTATGAAGGATTCTTCTTTTGTGAAATCATCTCCAGAGTTCTTAGAACTCTTTTTTTTTTTTTTTTTTTTTTTAAGCTTGAGCTTTATACGTAATTTCCTCTAGAAGTTCAGTCTGCTCTGTCCTTGTAGACCGCATCAGAGTTGTGTCTACTGTCTGGTTTCTGGCTCAGGTGAAACACCAAGGTGTTTATACGCCTTTACCAGCTCCACTTCTCCCATCATGTTAAAGGAAAAGTCTGGTCAGCAAGCAATAATCAATGGATCATTATAAATAAAACTGATACGTTCGCAGTGATTTCATGAATTTAGTTGTGACAAACACTAGATACAGCACTGGGACTTGATCAACAGCTGATACCGCACCGTGACGTCACTAACCAGTAGGTGGCAGCAGTGTTCTTTGACAAACATGGATATATATCTATATATATATAGAGAGAGAGAATTTTAAAATCTACAGGATGATATTAGAACTTAAATATTTTTCATTTTCGATTTCTAAAATGATTAAACATACAGAACTTAGCCATTCAAAATTTCCCCACTTTCCTTGAAGGGCTCTTGGGTGGTTCCCTACAATCTTTTAAACATCAATCTTTGCACTAAAATATTCTGTCATGATTTGTCAACATTAAGATCAAAAGAGAAGCGCCATCTCCTGGTCCGACCCTGTAATTCAGTGAAAGGGTTCGAGTCAGAGTAAAAAAATATGCGTAGAAGGAGGGTGTCACTCCAGAGGCTGGAAGTTGGAGCGGATTCCGCTGCGAGTTGCAGGGGAGTGAGCTGCCATTCGGCCAGCGTTTGACTGGGAAGGGCCTTTTTTTCTTCTTCTTTTTTTTCTCTCAGTTTTCTGTCTGGCGATGTGGCAACAAGAATAATTGTCTTGATGCCAAAAAGAGCCCAACAGATTTTGCTTTCACAAGTGGAGCAGTATGACTATCGCCATAGTGATCCGCTTGATTTATGCATATAAATAGCTTTGTTATAATTCATGCAGGGAGTTTAACAGATTATATGGACACTGCAATGTGAGTAGAACAGGAAAGGAAAAACAGGAAAAAGGAGAAAAGATGAAAGAAAGTGGAGATAAAAGGTAAAACAATAAAACATCTTCAGTCTGCTTCATCACCTGCAAAGAGATGTAAAAAGAACAGCACAACTAACGGATATAGTATAAGAGATACAATAAATTAACATCTTGAAGGGAAGATCCATTTTTGAATAGCTGCTAGTTTATATAATGTTTCAGTCATTATGATCCTTTTGGGGCGGTGTGTTGGTGCAGCCTGTTTTTTTTTTTTTGTTGTCTTTTTTTAATGGCAGTTTCCTCTCTTGCAGTAATTTTACTTTTATATTTCAAGTTAATACTTAAACCTCTACAAAAGTCTTTTTAAACATGTTTCTTTATTCTATTACAGTAAAAGATGCTTAGACTACGGGAGAGGATTAGGGCCACTGAAAAAAAGAATTTTAAATTTTATTTCAGTATAATATGAGAAAAAAAGTCAGAATTCTGACTTTAATTTCAGAATCCTGACTTTAATCTCCAAAATTCTGATTTTTTTTCCCCCTCAGAATTCTGACTTTAATTTCAGAGTTCTGACTTTAATCTCAGAATTCTGGCTTTTCTCTCCCTCAGAATTCTGACTTTAATCTCAGAATTCTGAGATTAAAGTCAGAATTCTGATTCCCCCCCCCCCTATCATTAAACTGAAATAACTCTTAAATATCAGTAAAAATTTTTTCCAGTGGCCTTAATCCTCTTCCTAATTTAGACACATCTGGAAGTTATATAACTGTGTTTCCAGCATAGAGAGTAATTGTGAGATCACTGAACATAAATGTTGGCAAAGACAGATTCTTTCTAACTCATTACTGGGCCAACAG